GTGAGAACTTCATATCTCAAATATATTTGAGATATGAAGTTCTCACCGCTACAGGGGAAATGCTTCTATATTAAGATTAGAAATAGTGCTTTTAATAACAAGATCGGCGAAGATTGCGATTTTCAAGAATTTTTTTTTCATGATGTTAAACACTTGTTTTTTACGTTAAATTAAATCACTTTGACGTTAAGTTCATTGGGGCCGTCAAAAGTTTCGAATATTCCAAAATGATTTTTCATATAGTAATTTGCAGGGATTATGCTATTAAAGGAACTGTCCAATCCTAATTGTGTTAAACTAAGTGCATAGCCGAATACTTTTGAAAAAAATGTTTCTTTGGCGTAACAAAACCTTACTTGTTACATTGGATTGTGACGAAATCTAACATAACAACAAGTGTGCTAGCATCATAATATATTGTGAAAATCTTGGAATTTTTGCCGACTTTTTGAAATTAAATATAACTTTTATTAATTATGCATTATGCTTTGAGAAGTTGCGTGTGCCTTTATTTATAACGATGTTTATAACGAAAATATTTGGTAAAATTTATTTTAATTCATCAACATCATTATTAAAAATCGTTAATTAAAAGAAAAAAAATTCTTTCATTAAAAAACATTTTAACTGATTGTTTTTTTGATACAATTCCCCCTCGATTTTTCCCATTTTTATAAAAACGTGCGGTCAACTTCAAACATATAAAAAAAAAATATTTTAAAACAAAACTAAAAACAAAATAACGCTCGCCAACGCATCATCATGGATTTCTATGCAAACTAATCATAATTTTAAAAATTATAAAAAAAATTTAAATAAAAAAACACTAAAACACATTTTTTTAATTTTATTATCAAAAATAATATATATATATTATTTTTTTCTTAATTTTTTTTTTTTTTTTTAATTCTTTTCTCTTTTGAAATTGAAAAAATAAAACCAATAATTTTAACTAAACAAATGAAAAACGTAGAAAACCTTGGTAATAAATTTTGTTTTTGTTTTATCGTTAAATTTCTTTTATTATATTTGTTTTTCATTATAAAATACAAACATATTAAGTTTAAAAAATTAGTTCTGAATAAGAGATATTAGTTTTAAAGTTTTATTGGATTTTCTAAAGTAATTCTTAATTTCTATTTGTTTAAAAATAAAAAAAAAACAAAAAAATAAAAATATATATAAAAATTTAATAAAATTTAATTTAATTTTTTTTTTTTTTTTTCATATATACCCAAAAATATTTAACACTAAAAACGAACATACCTTTCACTATACAAATCCTTACACTTAAATAAAACACCAACATTTGAAAACTTGTTTTGATGTTTTAAATAAAAAAACAACTGAACTGAATGTTGCATACGTGGACTATAAACGATTTGGTCAATTAGTGCCACCTACGGAGGTTGTGATTTTAGATGAAAAAGGTGATCGGATAGACAATGGCAGCATCGTGGGACCCATACAAGAAAGACAAATTCTAAAGTCCACTTGTATAGTGCGCAATACACGACCGCAACCCCAAGTGGGCTGGTGGCGGGGGAATAAACGTTTAACTACACGTAAGTTAAGCTTCTTTTCCTTGGTAGTAATTAAACATAAATTAATAATAAATTTAAAGCAAATTTATAGGGAATTGTTTATGCTCGTTAATGAATTAAGAAATATATATTTTTGAAGAAAGTTAAAGGGAAGTTCATTACACAGTAGCGGCCAAAAAATAATATCTCTTTCCCTTTTCACTTTTCTCAAGATCCAAAAAAAAAAAAAAATCAACTTAACTTTAAATTTCAAAGCTTAAATTTTATTATAGGCGATTGCTGTTATCACACTCTGATTAACTTTTTTCACATTCACTCAACGATTTACCAACGCATAAAGAACCATCTATGGATCAACGGCAGCAAAAACTATCAAGATTGAGTTTTAATTGCGTTAATGGCATTGCACGTTCGCCTTCAGTTTACTAAGTCTCCTATAAAAGCGACGCTTAAAGTTAAACTTTTTCTTGTTAGTTTTTTTTAGGTTTTCTTTAACATAATTTCATTTAATGAAGATGAAAAACTCTTTGAAAAATGAACAAGTTTATATAAATTCTAAGGAAATAAGTAAAAATAATGAAAATTAAACAAAAATTTTTCCTAAAATCTTTTTCCATTCGACATCGCCCTCTTTTGTACGCTTTGTCTCTCTGTGATTATTAATTTCTTTCCCTCTTTATGTTATGTTTTGTTAATTACTTGGATCCTAATTGAAGTTTGAGTCAACTATTAGCCCATTTAAAAGTGTGAGACAAAACTTGCTTTACAAAAATTCGTTGCGTTCATCGGTTTTGGCTTTGGGTGCATGATACGCCGTCTAGCTAAACCACTTATATTTATTGGTTACCAGTGTCTAAAGATCCGGACTCGTCCCTCTGAAAAATGAGTGAAAGCCAATTGGTTTGAAAAATGATTTCTCCTCTCTGAGCCACCGTTTAACCAGCTCTTTTTTTGTTTCGGTTTTTAATATGAATCAATTATTCAGGGAATATCCCTAACACGTGTGGTACGATGATGGCCGGTAAGATGTGAAGAAAGAGCAAGAGTACTCACTAAAGCTACGATCAAGAAAGGTCGCGGGCTGCATCGAGACTTGTACACGCGAACCCCTGACCTAAAACTTTTCGCAACTTTTATCCAGTTGGCCATGCCGTAGCCAATGTGTTTATGGCTTAAAATAAAATTATCGTTCGCCTCGATATGGTTTAGGCTCTACGCATTGAAATCATATTAAGATTCGTGACCAGTTTGTGGTCACTTTTTAATTCAAAGCGTTCCCCAGTTTCAAACCTGAACGTGAACGACAGCGTAAGGTTGTCACAGACCGATTTAATTCCCAAGAACAGCGCATAATCCCCAAAATTTGGATAATGTCGAACACTTTTGTGGTATTTTCTTCAATTCTTGTACTTCTACGTCTTCTTGGCATCGAGGGGTTATGAAATAGGATCGACTGAAGTCCTTACACAAAATACTTACCTGTGCCTTTATTGGGATGACTATGATGTCGAAGTTACGCAATACACAGAATTGTGGACATCGAAGTCTGTAGTCTTAGTATTTTGAAACATACAGAACACAGCAGTTACATTTTAATGAACGAAGACCCGCATTATCTACCGTCTATTACGTATCGTCTCCTCAGTGCGTACATTTGCGCATTCCAAACGCGACGATCTTTGTTCTTATTCGAAATCTGAATGCATGTAATGCGTTTCTATGCAGAAAATAATGTTTAACTACACACTTGCACAAAGATAAGGTGGAAGTATTTTTAGCGATTTTAAAATCTTTTAAAAGTAAAAAAAAATTCTTCGCAAATATATTTTGAAGCTCAATTCATCGTACTTAATTAACTTTTAGATTCGCCTTCGTATGATGAACAAAATGGTTTATTTACGGCAACACTAGAATTATCGCTGCAATTATCACGCGATGATTTGGGGCACAACATCGAATGCCGAGTTGATTCCGCTGCTATACCAAACACGCTCAAAAATCAATTTAGTGTCGATTTACAAGGTAAGCTAAGATGACAACAGCGAAGCAGTAAGTTATACGAAATTTGTAAATTTACGCTAAACGCGTATTTAATATTTTATTAAAGAATAAAAGGTAAAAGCAGTAGCAAAAACAAGCACAGCAACAATGTCGACAATAACAGAATTGTAATAATATTAAAAACCGATAATTATTTTAATTGCAGTACGACCCACCAGCATAACTATAAATGGTGTCGAACATCATACGGTGCAAGGCAGTAAAGTGGTGTTAACATGTGATGTAAGTAGCGTAACACAACAAATTCAAATAAACTAAATTATTATATAAAACACTAACGCAAAAGCAGAGAAAAGGAAAAATCGGTAAAAACAAAAGCCACGAATTTGAACACGGTTTAGGGTAAAACAACGAATAAGGAATATGTCTAGCCTAACGGAAGTCTTTTTAATTTAACATTTTCTTTAACCCATACAACGTATACCTTTAAATATATAATTAACAATAATTAAACGTTAATTATTTAATGATATTTCAAGTCATTGTCCTTACGGTATAATAGCAAGGAAAGCGGTAATATTCCTTCCTTTAAGGATACATTGTATTTCACCGTTAGCCTGCAGTATTGAATAATATTTCGATGATGCTTTTCATAAAAACGTTTAAATAATAATTAATAAAGAATTCCTGTGGATAATATAATTTGACTTAACTATAACATTGCAGATACATGGTGCCCGTCCTCCAGTTAATTTAACATGGTACAATAACACACAGCCCATTAGTTCTGAGGATAATGACATAAGTGAAATTCGCACAAAAGCGGTAAGTATGCCATAATAGTCACACTCCTCTCAACAGCAAACAAAAAACTTTTATTTAATTTAATATATTTTTATTTTTCTGGTCTCTTATCGTTTTTTACCACTAGTTCGGAAAAGAGGATGGTACCTATCACACACAGTCGGAGCTTATCTTTAACGCCACCCGTTTCGAAAATGACATGGTATTCCGCTGCGAGGCCGAGAATATTGTTCTGCAAATAAATCGTGAAAAACCATTCACATCATCCATGACTTTGGAAGTATTGTGTAGGTATCAGCCAATACCCCATAGTCATGCTGTTTAAGTTACTAAATAAAAACACTTTAAAACAAAATTTAAAAAAAAAAAATTAATAAACAAAAATAGTAAACATTTAAATAAATAGTAATAAAAAAAAAATTTCCTGTCAACAGTCTGGTATTTTGGTTTAATCCCTCTCTGTTTTCCTCTTTATTTTCACTTCATAGATCCACCAGTAGTGAAAGTTAGTCCTCTTGATATTACAGTAAATACAAGCGATACAGTTTTATTGAATTGTGAATACGTAGCCAATCCAGCATCTCTAACACATGTTGTGTGGTAAGTAGAAAAGTATAAAAGAAATAATCCATACGAATAAATAAAAAATATTCATTTTTAATCGATAAAAGTTGTGTGTACACGTTTATATACACAAAGAGTGATGAGCCCTACTAAGTGACGAAAGGGAGAAGATATAAAGATATTTCATCTACTGTAGAAAGCACCAGACAGTTACCAAAACCGATAAATTCGCGACATTGATATGAGAGATGGAGGCAAACTAAACGATAGGTTAGATAGGCTGGCATTTTGAAACCAAATTTGCCTCAGGTTATTTAATTTCTTACAAATATTGTACTTCAATACGTGTTTATGTAGCTCATACGCCTAAGGCGCGCGTCTAGTCCGTTTGATAATCTCAACTCATAGAATGGAGAAAAGCCCTCAAAGCAACATCTTTAAGATAAAAAATATGTAATTTAATTAATTAAATATATAATATAAACTAAAAAGGAATTTATAATTTCAATTTTTAGTCAATCGATGCAAATCGTTTAAGTTTAAATACATAAAAGTGTTGGATAAACTTTTAAAGCTATATATGCTTACGTTAACTCCCTATATATTTTAAAATTATTAATTTCAAGTTTGTCCAAAACATATGATTTTATATAATAATAAGAAAATGTTTAAACTTGTTTCCATTACCACGTAATCGTCTTAGGGATAATTTTTTCATTTCTATACTGTTCAACGTAATCATTCGGAACTGCTTTATATACCTTGTTTATATGTTTGGTGGAAGCTTTCTACAATATTTGTTTTTGGGATAATGTAAACTCATGAAAATTAAACAGCTGTCACAAGCTATTCTTGTGCTGCGAACAACGAAACCCTACCGCATGTTTAAACCACTTACGGAGGAATACTAGCGTACACGATTACATACAATATAAACAGCTACCAACAGATATTTAGAAAATCCCCGAAATACATATGGTTATATGCTAAACTAAAATTTATACACAATAAACATAGACATATATATACGTATTTATAACATATACTATATATTATAACAACAATTACAACAACGAAGAACAGAAGCTAAGGTTTGGAAGCGTTATATGTAAAAATTCCGGAAGGAGCTGATGCCTATGATATAAAATGTAAATTTTGTACCATTTTAATTTTACGTTTCGGTGCTTTTATAAGTGTATATGCTTGTGCGTGTGTGTACCCGAATATAAAGTATATGTGATTCAACAAGAAGGATGTAAATGTTAAGGATGAGTGTAGCCACAGAGCAAATACTTATGCGTTCTGGGTACGCAATGTATGTACGTACATGTGAGAAAGATGTGTAACAAGTACTTTAAAAAGAAGCAGAGGCCGCCCGAGAAAATTCTAACTTATTAAATGCTTCATGTCAACTCGATTGATTCTTCAATATTGGCGTCGTAAACTTCAACGGGGCTTTTCCTTTAGATAATTAAAATACTTAAGAAGGAATGTCGGAAGCTCTCCTACGATATTATGAAATACTTTGATCACAATCCCGCCCTATCCATCGTCACAAACTTTCCCCAACGTTGACTCTCATATTATAGGTTCACCGGCTGGAATTTATGGAATAAAGCAAATAGCGTGTAAAAAATATAGCATAATTTCACTTTATTTATTCTTTTACTGAAAAAAATTTCAAACCTTAATTAGACCGGGCAATCGTTAATATAAACAAACTTCAAACCAGGCTTACTAAAAATCTGATGTAACCTAGCAATAACCATTTGATAATGGCCTATTATAAATTTCATACTTGAATTGATTCGATCTGTTGGCAGCAAAAATCCAAATGTTCCTGGCAACTTAATGCTTACACATATGCATATTATATGCAGACATCTTGACATCTAGAAAGATGAGCAAGAAGAGAACAAGATATAGATAGGAAGGGAAGCCAAAAATAATTTTTCAAGTTTGTCTCTTCAAACACTTGCGTATATTTTAGCTGTAGATGCGCCAAATTAAGAATGTTCACGTATGTGTATTCAACTTAAGTTCCCTTTAAATGTAATGATGTCTTTTCATTACTACAATGAATGCATACGTACGAACATTACATGTATGCTGTACAGTTTCCCTTTACTTTGCTTTTTATCTTTTTTATTTCATTTTTCTAATTTGATGATATTTTCATCTCTTCTCTGTCTTCAACAGTGTGACATAATTAAACTGCTGTAGATTCGTTGAGATCTGATGCTTAAAAGCACATAAAATAGAGACATTTTTGTGTCGTCAACCATGAGCAGGTTTTGTCACATGAAGACACATTTTTTATTGTGTATATGTGCGTATGCTGTAAGTCTTTAGATAATTCCTTTACGTTTTGCATACAGCTCAGTTTTAGCTTTCATGGTGAACATATACAACCGCAACATTGCGGGGGCGGACGGCGAAAACGGAATAATGTTGATAATGGTTTGAAAATTCTAGTAAAACAAAACGAAGCGAGAATACCATAAAAGAAAAATGGAAAATAGTCCTTCAAAAAGTGAAAGAAAATCCAACGCTAGTCACACAATTGAAGTTTATCACATAGGGAACTTTCTCAATTTCTAGAGCTAAGATTTCGTTGCACATGCAGGCATACATACATCCTAATAACTTGTATATGTACATACATTTTGGAACGTAAGTCATTGTGTTGAGTTACATGATGTGCTGAATTGCTACAGTTGCAGCTCCTGATACTGATGCTAATGTTGTTGCTATTGCAGCTGCCATTGCCATTGTCATCATATGTATGTAGTTTGGCGGCATTTTCAATTAGTGTAGATTGCTTCCTTCACAAGATTTTCGGTTTCTAACAGATGTTAGATGAATGCACTTCTTATCACTTGAATTCTAACTTCTTTCTTAGATAATTTAACAGTAAACACATATTAATGCATATTTATTGTACATATATTGCGTCCACACAAATGCAGGTATTTGCTTTCGCATAAAAACCAAGTGTATGATAGTTTTCAAATTTCCAAAATCAATGTTATAATACAGTTATGTATTGAAAAAGTATATTTCACTGTGTGTATAAAAAGGTATATCGAAACAAACAAAAAGTATTTGAGATTAATTTAGCCATAACAATTGTTTGAAATATAATTGAAACTACTCAAAATTGAAAGATAAAGCTTTTGATGTGGAAGATTTAAATTCTCTGTCTGTTGATCCATTGTGTCCTTCGCTTGGCTGATCATAAAGTTTTTGTCCATTGAATGTAAGACCGTTTGCAGTCGCAGAGTTGAAATTAAATTATCACCAACAGTCCCGTCATTAGTATGATTATTTCGGGCGGTGACTTTCTTTACGTAATTTTTTTGTGCTTTATACCTAAACATGTTCAATAAAAGAAAAGAGAAAATATATGGCATAATAAAACTTTACCTTCATAATAAGTTTGTGCGAATGGGTGCATCCAAAGGGCTCTTTGCTTTAGAGAACCTTTATAGTCTCACTGCTTGAGAGATCTTGACGCAGGAACGAAAATTAATTCCAAGTATTAAATAAAGTTTTTCGTAAGGTATCGTGGTGGCTGTGCTCAGCCCAGCAACGTGGCTATATATAGTTGTCCAAGATGTATATACAGTTGTCATATATATATTTTATATATATATATATATATATATTTTATTAAGTTTGTGCGTGTGTATGCAACACACAGAAGACCTCCCTTTTATTATATCGACCAATTTAGAATAACTTTTCGAATCGATCTTAGCTTGTCCGCCAGCTGATCTCGCTTCTTTTATTTAATCTATGGGCGGCAATTTTTGAAATGAACGCTATCGAAATTGGTTCAGATGGGATCACTTTTTCGACCAGTTCCCATTAGCTTTATTTTGAAAAGTCGTCACATAAGTAGAGAGGTGTACAATAGTGTGCCGTAACTGACTTTTCGTTTCTCCTTGTTATTTTTAAAAAATATTCGGAACGAACATCTTCTTTCGATATATATCTGATATATCAGGATGAAATTTCACACATACCCAGCGGCCAGTTCCGCGAATTTGACACCAACAAGTAATTTTTTCTACTGGTTTCTTTCTCGTTTATGTATCGGACTGGCAATGTATTATCTGACTTCGTCCCTGTACTTTCGAAAATTGCAACTTTTCCCAAACCGAAATGAATTCGAATAAATATAGTTATACGCGATTTCGTATAGACGACATAATATAATGAAAATATTTGTTTGCTTCCTTTTGTGTTATTTCTCGTCTTAATTATTATTGATTCTTAAATGTAACTAATAAAATTATATTTAATGAAGTAAACTTACAATTAAAAAATTAAACTAGCAAAAACGGTGCCCCCCTTTCTTTTTATTTGGTAAGATAGTCGTATAAAGAATTATCCGTTTAAAGCATTTTATTTTGTTATAAAATATCTCAAATGTGTGACAGAATTTGTTATAATTGTATGTATAAAGTTAAATGTGCGTGTGTTTGTGTGTATTTGTGTACGTGTGTTTTGTTGTTTTTGCCTGCGAGCTAGAGGCAGAAATATTCAAAGGATACTGCTGGTTTTTGCTAGCAGCGTGCGTTAAGGCGTTTTTCACGTCTAGTGTAACGACGGCGCAGTAATTTTTATCACCGCCTCTTCATCGGTGCCCGTTTATAGCATCTGAGAGAAGCACCGCGACATGATATATATATATATATGACATCTATCGTAAACCGCTCTCTTCTGAGTGAGTACCGGTTATCCGAGAGATCATGTCTTTCTTCGGCCACGAATAGCAGGCGTTCGTATTTCTTCGTGTATATCTTCTTCGCGTGTATTTCTTCTTCGAGGCATAGCCGCGTCGCATGCTTCTGCAAGCAACTTTGTCATGTTTTGCTGGAGTTGACCAGCAGCACCGCCACCCTTCTCGTAGGAATCCATAATGATGTTAAAGGCGTCCTCGTTGAAGGATGAATGTCTCCACTTCAGCCCGGTAATTTGGGCTACCTATTTGCTCAGCAGAGATTACTCTCTCTGCTCTTTACGTCGAG